CTGTGTGAGCACTCAGGCTGCTGTCATAGGACTGGCAGTAATAATCAGCCTCATCCTCAGACTGGAGTCCAGTGATGGCCAGGGAGGCTGAGGTACCAGACTTGGAGCCAGAGAATCGGTCAGAAATTCCTGAGGGTCGCTTATTATTGTCATAGATGAGGAGTTTGGGGGCCGTTCCTGGGAGCAGCTGGTACCAGTATACATTATAACCTCCAATGTTGGAGCTGCTCCCAGTGCAGGAGATGGTGACCTTCTGCCCGGGGGCCCCAGACACTGAGGGCGGCTGCGTCAGCACAGACTGGGCCCAGGACCCTGGAAGTGAGAGAGATACAGGAATCATAATTCTGCTTCTAGAAACAAGAGGAGAAACCAATCATTCATGGACTTCCCAGGGCCCCTTCCCTGGACCTGTATCCAGTCACCTGTGCAGTGAATGAGAAGGGTGAGGAGGAGAGGAGACCAGGCCATGCTGGAGACTGTCCCGAGTGCTGCCTCCTGTGCCCACAGCTGAAGCAGAGCTTCCCCAAATCTCTCCCTGCCCCTCTTCATACTCTGAGAGTGGGAGGGTCCATCCATGCAAATCAGACCCCCAGCTTTCTAATCCCACCCTGGGCCCTGGGTCAGGTCCCTATGCCTGAGGATGTCAGGGGGTGGCAGGGGTGGGGTTGTGTGCTCCCAGGGGGTGGGCAGGACACAGCTGTGAGCCCTGAGCAGAGGACACTAGACAGCTCAGGTGGCTGGTTCTGCTCTGATCATCCCACTCTTCTCAGGAATGGTCCCCAAGCGCCCCCTGGTGTCTAGACCAAGACAAACCATTGTAAGACAAGGTGACCAGAACCTCCAGAGACACCGCTGCCTCCCTGCTGTTCTGTCCACTGCCCCCTGTCAGGGCCAGGCCAGGAGGTGTCTTCTCCCTGTGATCTCAGGGCAGTTCTCCCACTTTACTGGGCTCCTCACAAGTGAATCTGTCTGTGGCGCTCTCACTGTTTATTATAGAGGACTCAGGTGGTGACTACACAATGTCCTCATAGGACAGGATCAAACCCAGACCAGGGACCAACTTTCATGGACTCACTTTCCCACGTGTGGGGACGCCGTGTCCTCTCATGTGGCTCCTCCCTGGTGGCCAGAGCTCTCCTTCCTCTGTGGATCCTGCAGGGCTGAGTAAAAGGGAAGCTCTTCCCTCTAGGGTGCCCAGGGCACATTCCCAGAGGGTTATTCTGGTCAATCTTCACTCTCTACTTCCCCAGAATTGCAGTCATAGTCATCTGGATCTTGTGATCGCGCTGAGCCGTGCCTCCCATAAAGGACAAGGCTGCCCATGACCCCCTCCCTGCCCAGGAATGCCCTTTCTGGTGGATGCCCCATCAGCTTTTAGGGTGAGGGCAGAGTGAGGAGCAGGTCCACAGCTACCTCTCCCAGGTCAGCCCCATCCTGGGGCCAGTATAATGTGGCCCATGTGATAAGAGGTAGGTCTCTGTCAAATAGTTACTGAGCACGTATCTTTTGCGGAGCATAGAGGCAGCACTGGAAATGCCATGTTGATCTAGACAGCCTAACGCCTACCTTGTGCAGCTAACCCTGATGAAAACACAGGCATAGGAGGAGCACAGGAGTCCTCAATTCCACCCCCTTAATCCCTGGGGCAGAGACCAGAGAAGTCCCTGCTGCACTCCAGGGTCTGAGAAGAGACCTCGACTAGGTGTGATCACAGGGGAAGAAGGAAGAAGGGAGTACAGGAGAATCAAGGGCATATGGGCATGACCTGAAGATTCCTGGGGTTCAGGGGAAGATGTAGGGAAGTCCACCAAGTAGATATGGATAAATAACATCAGAAAAATAACAGGATCTAGGAGAAGTGGGTTCCCAGGAAAGAGCAATTGTAATTGAGAAAGACACCGTGGCAGGGCAAGTCTTCAGAAATCCAAGAAGATGCACTTTTGTTCCCCAAGTCCAGGAGCTTGTTCACTGGATGGGCCTGATCTGCTGGGGCCACTGGAGAGGAAGGCAGGGAGGAGCCACATGTCAGTAGGAGAGTCATGGAGAAGGGGAGAACATGGGCAGAAAAAGAGGAGACTCCACGTTGGGAAAGCCTGGAAGGGAGGGGTGCGATGGGAATGTCCACATGTACAGATATATTTCTGGATATTTCATATAAATGGGATCATGTTAATTTTCAGATTGCTGTGAGAGAAGAAGACAAATTCCAACTATCTTGCTATTTTTCTAAAAGACAGTGCATCTTCAGCCAAGAAAATTTCCTTCACAGGTGCTCTCCTGTGGACTATAAGCACTGTGTTTTTAAAAGGCTTCTTTACATTTCTTTTACCATCATACTGCTTTTTTTTTTCAGAAATATATATATATACCAATTAAAATTGTTGACATAGGTTAATACTACATTCTTGTGAAAGTTATGCACTTAACTTTTTGAAACATATACTCTGGACCTTTCAGAGGTTATTCGTTGAGAACACCAAGAACATTCACTACCTAATGTATTCACGCTGTTTTTTCTGAGGAGTAAAATCTTGAAGCTCTGGAATTAATTTTCTTAGATCTTGGAGTAACTCCTAAGAGGTAGTGAAACTTTTCTTGCTAACCCTCTATTTATTTAAGAACCCTCCCATCTCTCTTTTTTGTGACAATGGGCTGTAGATACATGGTTGGCATCATTAGCTGCTGAGTGGGAATGAGCCATGACAGGGAATGAGAACAGAAGTGTGAATATAGAATTTTGGAAATCAAATAGCTCTAGACCTGAGAAAATAACATGAAATGACTTAATAGAGACAGCACTTTCTAGAAGGACACTGAGAAGGAGAATCTAAGGTTTGTGTAAACTAGGAGAGTTCAGTTATGGCTTTAATAGTTGGCTTTGTGCCCTGAAGGGGCAGGGTCACCGCAGAGTCAAAGCCAGGTTGCTGCTGATCCCAGACCCTGGGACCAGGACTGAGGGAAGACTCTCAGCAGTGACATGGTTGACCTGGTGGAGCAGCGCCTTGAGATAAGAGCAGAAGGAGGCTCCCTGTGCAGTGTGTGGACAGAGAGGGACGTGCAGGTGCTGTCCCTTGAGTCTGGTCCTCACTTGAAAGAGGGGCAGATGGAGGACAGGTGCTGAGGTGATGGTGATCAGTGGCTTCTAGTGTGGCTTCTTGAACTTCTTTCCCTTTCTTTTTTCTCCTCTGAGCTTAGGAGGCCAACATGAGGGTGTTTATCTGCTTCTTGTCTCTCCTGAGACTGCCTGATTCTCCTATCAATGCCTCCTTGATGAGTATGGATGTGTCTTGGCCCGGAATTGATCTGTGAAAAGAATATCAGAAAGGTCAGAGAGCCCAAGATGGAGATTTGTGGGTCAGAGACTCTCTTGCTTATGTCTCTGCCCAGCTGTCAGTTTTCACAAGACAACACCCATCACGAACTGAAGATGAGGGTGGAGGGTGCAGTGATTCACACAGTGTGGCTACTTAGGCAGAGATCCTGGTCTTTTTCCTTTTTCTGTCATGTCTGGACCCCCGATCTCCCAGCCATGAGTTCAGCATGTAAGTGTCCCCAGCTGCAATGTTAGGGACAGGCAGTGTGTGGCCCAAACCCGTAAGATAAGCTGCCTGGTCGCCATGAAGCTGTCATGGGAGATGGCATGAATGATTTAGTCCGGTTGTCTTGAAGGCTGAGATTCCTCACCAGTGGGTCAGGGAGGGCAGATCTTTCTCATTCTGGAACTTTTTTTAAGTGAGGATGTCATATGTAAAACTGGAGAGTCATTTTTTTCCAAATAGGAATTCAGTCAGGGGACAGGAGAAGTTATGGAGAACTAACATCTTACATATCTCAGAGATAAGTTTTCCTCTTCCTGTTGCCATGTGGAGAGGAGAAAGGCCTGTGATGACTTTAAACAAGTCTGGGGAGCTGTTGTCTAAGTTTCCATCGTGACAATGAGCTCCAGTCTTCCTGCAGCCCCCTTGCCCTTGAAGGACCCCCCAGCAGTGTGATCACTGCGCCCCACTCAGGTCCTAAGGCCCGCCTTGCACTCTCCCCTCCCCCAGGCTTCAGTCCCTCCTCCCCAGACACCAGTGCTGAATCTGACCACTCTCTCCCGGTGACCAGAGCTGTTCCCACGGCCTTCACACTCCCTACCTCCTTGTCCATCTTCTCTGAAGCATCTGGAGTTTTCCTCACAAACTTACCTCAGATTCTGTGTCCTCCTTGTCCAACCCTGTAATGGCTCCTCTACCCTCCCCCACCCAAGCTCTATTCTCCTCACTGTGTGATGCCACCTTATCACTTCAATATTTTAACTTGATTCTCTTTTCCACAAGTCGGTGTCAGCTAGAATATTCTAGGCTTATCTATCAGCTTTCATCCATTTTGGTGTCAGGACTGGGCTCTGCCATGAGGGCATAAGTCTTAAATGTCAGAGTCTGGGAGCTTCAGTACAATCAAATTCCCTTGAAAGCTCCCAGTTCTTTTGGCCTGAGAGTGAGGCTCAGTCTCCCCTCAATGCACGAGTGGGCAAGAATCCTCTAAGAATTCTTATCTGAGGTAAGGAACCTCTTCAAAGGCTGTATTTTATCCTATTCTTACCCAAACTGGAACACAAGAAAAAATGAGTAGATGGCTCCGGAATCTGGCCCACCATCTGAGCTTCAGTTTATGCCACCCCTCCTCACTTTAGTAAGAGGGTCCTCATTTTTTTTTGGGGGGGTGGGGTCTCGCACTGTTGCCCAGGCTGGAGTGCAGTGGCGCGATCTCTGCCTTCCATGTTCACGCCATTCTCCTGCCTCAGCTTCCCGAGTAGCTGGAACTACAGGCGCCCGCCACCATGCCCAGCTAATTTTTTGTATTTTTAGTGGAGGTGGGGTTCCACCGTGTTAGCCGGGATGGTCTTGATCTCTTGACCTTGTGATCCGACTGCCTAGGCCTCCCAAAGGGCTGGGATTACACAAGTGAGCCACCGCGCCCGGTAGGTCCTGACTATTTTGTGGTCTCAGACACCTCCATCACCTCCCACCATCATCTGGGAAGAATGCCTCGCTCTGCTGCCTAGTATAATGCCTGGGCCTCTCCTTGCCCTCTGTGGCTGCCTCCTCTTTATTTCTGTGGAAGGAGGAAGCCAGGGGGTGGCTGGGAGAGAGGAGAGAGAGGGGAGCCTTGGGTAGGCTTCTGATTTCTAACTCTTTCTTCTCCTCATTGGGGCATGGAGAGGTGATGAGCAGTTTGCAAGGGGTGGGGTTGGTGCCCTCTAACCCTGTCCTGGGCACATAGAAATAAATGTTTCTACAGATTCAGAGACAGCGCTTACAGAGTTTGGAAACAATGCCTGCGATGGAGGCCCTGGGCTGAGCAAGGTTTTCAGGTAGCCTTGAGCCCTCACCTGGCCATAGCTATAGTGAGGAGAGCGATGAGAGGAGGAGTCCAGGTCTTGGGGAGCAACTCTGCTCCCTCAGGCCTCTAGTGAAGCGAAAGGCTCACACCTCCTCACCCCCTCCCCACACCATGGGCAGGCACAGAAGGGTCTGTGAAGACACATGTGGACCTGCCACCTAGGCCCAGGATTTCAGTACAGAGACCCTGTGCCTCAAACTGCGGGAGCCGGATATTCTGTTTCCTGGAGTCCCTGTTCCTGACTCTGAGGACAAAGGTCGGGGAGTTTCCACTCCTAGGCAGGGCCCTGGCTGCCCCTAGGCCCATGGGGGAAGCTACAGCAGCAGAAGCTACAGGTCAGGCATGAGCAGCAGCTGCAGGCACTCACCCTCCTGGCAGAGGAGGAAGGGGGTTCTTGTCTCAGATTCCCCCGGGCCTGGAGCACCGTGTGAGCACTCAGGCTGCTGTCATAGGACTGGCAGTAATAATCAGCCTCATCCTCAGTCTGGAGCCCAGTGATGGTCAGGGAGGCTGAGGTACCAGACTTGGAGCCAGAGAATCGGTCAGAAACCCCTGAGGGTCGCTTATTATTGTCATAGATGAGCAGTTTGGGGGCCGTTCCTGGGACCTGCTGGTACCAGTATACATCATAACCTCCAATGTTGGAGCTGCTCCCAGTGCACGAGATGGTGACCCTCTGTCCGGGGTCCCCAGACACTGAGGGCGGCTGCGTCAGCACAGACTGGGCCCAGGACCCTGGAAGTGGAAGAGACACAGGCATCATGATTCTGCTTCTAGAGATAAGAAGAGAAAACAGTCCATGAAATCAGTCATTCATGGACTTCCCAGGGCCCCTCCCCTGGACCTGTATCCAGTCACCTGTGCAGTGAATGAGAAGGGTGAGGAGGAGAGGAGACCAGGCCATGCTGGAGACTGTCCCGAGTGCTGCCTCCTGTGCCCACAGCTGAAGCAGAGCTTCCCCAAATCTCTCCCTGCCCCTCTTCATACTCTGAGAGTGGGAGGGTCCATCCATGCAAATCAGACCCCCAGCTTTCTAATCCCACCCTGGGCCCTGGGTCAGGTCCCTATGCCTGAGGATGTCAGCGGGTGGCAGGGGCAGGGCTGTGTGGTTCCAGTGGGTGAGGAGGATGCAGCTGTGAGCCCTGAGCAGAGGACACCAGGCAGGGCAGGTGGCTGGTTCTGCTCTGATCACCCCCAGTCTTCTCAGGAATGGTCCCCAAGCGCCCCCTGGTGTCCAGACCAAGACAAACCGTTGTATGATAAGGTGACCAGAGCCTCCAGAGACACTGCTGCCTCCCGGCTGTTCTGTCCAATGCCCCGGCTCAGGGCCAGGCCAGGTGGTGCTTTTGCCTTCTCCCTGTGACCTCAGGGCAGTTCTCCCACTTTACTGGGCTCCTCACGAGTGAAACTGTCTGCGGCGCTCTCACTGTTTATTATAGAGGACTCAGGTGGTGACTACACAATGTCCTCATAGGACAGAATCAAACCCAGAGCAAGGATCGACTTTCATGGGTCACTTTCCCACATGTGGGAACACCGGGTCCTCTCATCTCATGTGGCTCCTCCCTGGCGTCCAGAGCTCTCCTTCTTCTGTGGATCCTGCAGCACTGAGTAGAAGGGAAGCTCTTCCCTCTAGGATGCCCAGGGCACATTCCCAGAGGGTTATTCTGGTTCTTCACTCTTTACTTCCCCAGAATTGCAGTCATAGTCATCTGGATCTTGTGACCGCACTGAGCCATGCCTCACATGCAGAACAAGGCTGCCCATGACCCCTTCCCTGCCCAGGAATGCTCTTCCTGGTGGATGCCCCATGAGCTCTTCGGTGAGGGCACCGTGAGGAGCAGGTCCACAGCTACCTCTCCCAGGTCAGCCCCATCCTGGGACTGATGTGATAAGAGGTAGGTTTCTGTCAAATAGTTACTGAGCACGTATCTTTTGCGGAGCATAGAGCGCAGGGTTGGATTTGCCATGTTGATCTAGACAGCCTAATCCCTACCTTGTGCAGCTGCCCTGATGAAAACACAGGCATAGGAGGGGCACAGAAGTCCTCTCTTCCACTCCCTTAATCTCTGGGGCAGAGATCAGAGAAGTCCCTGCTGCACTCCAGGGTCCGAGAAGAGATCTTGACTAGATGTGATCACAGGGGAAGAAGGAAGAAGGGAGTACAGGAAAACAAAGGGAATGTGGGCATGACCTGAAGATTTCCGGGGTTCAGGTGAAGATGTAGGGACATCCACCAAGTAGATACAGATGAATAACATTAGATAAATAACAGGATCTAGGAGAAGTGGGTTCTCAAGAAGGAGTGACTGTGATTGAGAAAGACACCCTGGCAGGGCAAGTCTTCAGAAATCCAAGAAGATGCACTTTTGTTCCCCAAGTCCAGGAACTTGTTCACTGGTTGGCCCTGATCTGCTGGGGTCACTGGAGAGGAAGACAGGGAAGAGCCACGTGTCAGCAGAAGAGAGGTGGAGAGGGGGAGAACATGGGCAGAAAAAGAGGAGATTCCACCTTAGGAGAGCCTGGATGGGAGATGTCTGATGGGAATGTCCACATGTAGGGGTATATTTCTAGATATTTCATATAAATGGGATGATGTTAATTTTTAGAGCGTTGTGAGAGAAGAAGACAAATTCCAACTATCTTGCTATTTTCTAAAAGACAGTGCATCTTCAGCAAAATAAAAATTTGCTTCACAGGTGCTATCCTGGGGGACTATAAGCACTGTGGTTTTAAAAGGCTTTTTACATTTCTTTTACCATCATACTGCTTTTTTTTTT